GTTTCAACTGGGTTTTTATTATAATTCTTTCAAGAAAGGGGAGACAAAGAACGTCCTGTCAGGCATATTTATTCAAGAGTTCACAGCTGGTGACTCCATGACTCAGGATTTTTCAGCTCCTAACCACTACCACAACTGCAGGGCACCGTGCTTCAGGTTTATTCAATTGACCCTAATGAAACTTGGGTTTCTGCTAAAGAAAAGAAAGAGAAATTTATACCACAAGCAGAACTTCACCTTTCTAGGTAATGTCCTCTCCACTACATGCTTCAAATCCCTATGGTCATTTCACTTACAGAAACACCTCTGCCCAAGGAAAGAGGAAAGTAAGATCCCCAGGGGGTTGGAATTCTCTCTCCTGTGATCTTACATTTGTGAATTATTAAACCTTGCTTGTCACTTTTGTTGACGCTGTACCTCATTACAACAGGAAGCCAGTGAAATGTAGAGCAGCCACTATTCTCTCCCAGCAACAAAGGCAGCAGTTAGATAGCACGTGCTATGCTTAACCCAGACCAGGTAACAAACCTCAAAGCTCCCTGAAAACAAGTGCATCGCACTTGACAAGACAAATTGCACTTGTCTAATAACATTTCAAACTAAAAATAGGGAAAGGAACATGAAATTTTCTGAACTGACACTCTAGAACTAATTGTAGACATTTATTTCCAGTCCAGATTTTTTTTGAAAAATTGAAAGGAAAAATCATTAAAGAGACTGAAACAGCAAAATGTCATTTCAATCTCAAACCAGGTGACTCGGCAAGATACCACTGCTAGATTTTAGTTCTTGTTCTTTTTTTGTCTCAGATAGCACATAAGTATGCAAAGTCAGAAAGGAATGCAGAAGCACCCAGACTCCTACAGCAACAACACAGGCAGTTAAGAGTTCAAACATCCCACAGAGTGTGTTTTAAAGAGCACTAAGAGTTGGCGTAAACGTTCTTGCAGTAGTCTAAGGCAACATCTCCAGGCATATCAGCAAATCCACTTAGAAGAGAATTCATCCCATGACCCAATTACAACACAGTTTTATTTTGGAGATCACTCAGCTGTGCAGCAGCAACAAAACAAGAGTCTGGAGCTATCCCAGTGCAAGTCTGATTGCAGAAAGCTTTCACACATACAAAGCCATAATTATGTTAAGTTGGTGCATTTGTCCCTCCTACAAATGCCACACCAACAGTAATTTAAAAAAAAAAAAAAAAAAAAAAAA